CCTGCGCTTCCCTGCATTCCTGAAGAAATTGGCCCACCAAGTCGTTGTAATTCAGGATACCACCATACACCCACATGTAAGATTCCTTAACAACTATGCACATTTTTAGGCTCAAATATTTTAGAATTGTTTTCACTGCGCCTGAGCTGTAATTGGCTCAGCTTCCCAAGTGTTGGATCATCTAACTGGAGTGATTTTTGACTCTGAGCCCAGGCACCATATCAAAACATTTATCAATTAATCATAAAAAGTAACTAACATTGTTGTCCACCCAAGAAAAACTGTCACTTACAGACTCATGTATGTTATTCCTTATGAAAGAGCTGCTATATAGAAGTTGATTTCCTGCACAGACCAGGTGGAAAATCTGCTAAAGGCAGAGGTCAAATTTAGTTTAATTTTATACCCTTTGTTAAGAATGTTCTCCCTCTCTCTCTCTCTCTCGCTAAAAAAAAAAAAAAAGAAGAAGAAAAAACCCACCCTTGTGTTCCTTTCCAAGTATTCTAAAGTTAATTCATGTGGAAGAAAAAAAAGATTAGGATAAAATTTCAAATATTAAATTCAAATGTAGGATTAATGAGTTTTATTTCAAAACCCCAGAGGTTGTCTGGAATTTAGGACATTTTTTTAGTGGCAGACACGAGACACAGCCAGATGCAGTCGTGTTTTGGACCAGCTCAGCACAAATTTAGCACCTTGAAGGAGAAATCTTATGTCTGTTTTGTAAAGCAAACATTTCAACTTTTCCAAAATCCCTTGTCCAAAAGATATTATTGTTGCACTGGATGAAGGAAAGGATTTAAACTAAGGCGGACTGGTCGCTCCAGTACAGACAAATTGCCACCCCATCACCATCCCTGTAGGTGATGTAGGTCTCCTGCCCCATGCAACAGAACCATATAAATAATGTCTTTATTTTTTAATAATGTGGAGCAAGCTAGATTTAAAAAAAAAATAAAAGAAAAAAGAAAAAAGAAAAAAGTAAAATAATTGAACCATTTCTGAAGCCAAATTCAAGACAGTCCTTGTGACACTCTGCAGGAAGGAGTTTTTGCAGCTTGGTTTCTCCAAGAGCAGCAGGGAAGGGCTTGGCAGAGGTACAAACCCCATTCTTCTCACGCCCTCCCAGCCAGCATGGCAAACCCGGGGCTCAGGGGCTGCTCCCCTTCACACCCTCTCCCCAAGGCAAAACCCTTGGAGGCCAAACCCCTCCCTTTCATCAAAAGATTTTGTTATCATCCCAAAAATTACCATCCTTCAGCTGCCTCGCTGACAGGGTTGCCCCCAAGAAGCCCCAAGTATCAGTGGTGTTTCAGGTCACCATAATTTGTTCAGAAAAAGAGAGAAATTCATGTTTCTATACAAGTGATGGCTTGGGAAGGGTTGGTAACACCTGTGGAGCTCAGCCTGCAGATCCAGAGCAGGTGGTTGGACCACGGTGTCTTTTGGGCAGCCAGAAGTGCCAAACATTGTCCTGATTGAAATCAAAGAATTAAAATCCCCGTTGAGTTCAGTGGAAGAGGAAGGTGGCCAACGTTGGGTTTAATGTTTTATGTATTAACATTGAAATCTTGATGGGAAAGAACTGAAACCTTGCAGTGAACACCTCCAAACCTTGGAATCTTGTCTTAAAAGATTCCAATTATAGCAAGAAGAAAACACTGGCGTTTCAGTTTCACATTCTGGCACTTGATCAAATGGACATACCACAGTCTGTAAATAGACCCAAAAACTGAAAAATCGTTCCAATTAAATTCCTTCATGCCTCAGAACTCTGACTCACCTATGGACAATCAATGGAATTAACATAACAGATAATTAGGACTTGGTGATAGGCAAGCTTCAGATTAATTATTCCATTTAGAAAAACATTCACAAATTTTTTTTGTCTTATTTCTTTCTGAGATTAAAATCCTACAAGGACAAGTTTTCTCCCCTCCAGTACAGAACAAAAACAGTCCATGGAAACAGCCTCATCTCACAGCATTTCTGGTTTTGGGGCCCTATCATAATCAGTAAGTGTGAAAATATAACAAAATACTATGCAAAGTAGCAAATATAATTTTAAACTCCTAAAAGTTTTCCCTGAACTGCAACTAAATTTTCTGGTCAACCCAAATTTTATCCCATCTCATAATCTCATAATCTCCTCCCATCTATAACTCTTTTCAACAGCAATGAAAATTTGGATTTAAAGCTCCATTTCCAAATGGATTTCTTGGCCAAGGTGGGAGAAGGTGGATGTAATTTTCAGGAATTTCAGGTTATAACTGCCTGGAGCTGTTCTGAGTGCAATGCTGAGCCACCACCAAAGGAAGGGAAAAGCTGTGCAAGGCAGTGGCTAATTGCCTGGATCTGTGGTTCTGAGTGCAACCAAAGGAAGGGAAAAGCTGTGCAAGGCAGTGGCAGCTGCTCTGACTGCAACCACATTTCACCCATATGAGGCCAATGCCTCTTTTGGTCTTTCTCATCTCTGAACTCAACCCCTGGCATGGCTTTAAGCTGAAAAGTACCTTAAAAATCAAAAACGTCACCAAAATTTGCTGAAGATTCTTTTGGTCTTTCTCATCTCTGAACTGAACCCTGGCATGGCTTTAAGCTGAAAAGTATCTTAAAAATCAAAAACGTCACCAAAATTTGCTGAAGACTGGGTGTTTTACAGACAAAGCCTTGTTATATATTATCAGTGGGACAATTTATTTAATTTTGGATATAATCAGAAATGTTTTATCCCTAGACACTGCTGTGCACACGTTCAATCTTTATCAAAACCTCACGGTTTGACACTTGTGTCCAAAAGTCCCCAAATCAGTTGCATCACTCTGACCCATTGTCCAAGGCCAGCTGAACTGGAGACTGAGCCAAGGGACCCGTTATCCAAAGGAAAACAGCAATAGCTGAAACATATCTGAGGCACCAACAGGATGTGAACCCTTCACAACATCTTCCTTTGCTGAAAACCAGTCAGCCCAGCACAATGAAACTATTGGGCTCTGCTGCCACCTGCACCACGTGCACCACCCAGGGCTGCTTGGCTGGAGACACGGGATGGTTTTCCACTCTTGGCCTGGCCTCTGGTGTGAAATATTCCCACAGCTGGATGTGAACAAAGAGTGAGGCATCCCAGGGACTGGACAAGAGGCTCGAGCCAAGCCCAGGCCTGGGTGGAAGCCTGTTCCATGACCAGTTGCTCCACACCTGGCTCGGTGCTTGGGGATGTCCTACGTGGAGCCGTGAGGTTTTTATGGGCACTCCATCTATCATTGCATCCAAGGAAATAAAAAAAAAAAAAAAAGAAAAGAAAAAAAGAACAGCAAAAAGAAATAAACGAAGACTTTTATGGGCCTAGGAGGAGCTAACCTGGAAATATCACTGGCACAAATAGAGCTGTTGAGCAGACAATAGCACTGGGGTATTGCCATGGGTTTGTTTACCCAAACGTGGCCATCCTCGCTGTGAGGTCCCCACCCTGCTGCTCCCCAGCCTGGGGAGCTGGTGGAACACAAGCTGTGATTGCCATGCTGACAGCTTTATTGCCTCCCTGACCTTGCTATTTTTAAGGGAACAGGTTATCTCTGTGATGTAATCAGGTCTTCCTCGTGCTGTGAGGTCATTCCCACTGCAGGGAGCTGGAGCCTTTGGTCCTCACTCGCCTTTGGAATGCCAAGTCAGCTGTTCCAGGTGTCCAGGAGCTTATGGCACTGGTTGGACTGAAAACTACTGAGGCTGATTCTCTTTTCCCAAATCACTCAGGAAATATGGCTTTGGTTCCCTTCTTCAAACCTAGTTTATCTAAATTGATAAAGAGAATTTAAATATCCAAATTTTGAGACATGAAGCTTAAAAGAGCAGTGAGATTAATTAAATGTGTGTTTGTGTTAGGAGCGGGAAAGTGCAAGTGCAAGTCATAGTTCACAAGTGATTCTCTGGAATGAGTGCAGTAAGTAAATAAATGATAAAAAATGTTGTTGCACTTCCATTTTGAAGGTTCTCATTGCAAAACAAGTGGACAGAACGGCCAGACCTTCACTTAGGGAAATTAAAATTTCCCAGTGGGATGAGTTCTGCAGGGTTATTAAAGGCTTTATTTCAAGATTATTTCTCTGGAGAAGACACAGCCATTATTTCAGCAAATGCTAAAAACTTTAGGGTTTGGGTCAAATTAGAAAAGCATTTACTGATTTAGTAACTACATATCCAACATTATCTCTATGTAAACTATTTACCCAGAATGATATGACTTAAAAGCTCTCTCCTATTCTAAAATTCCTGTCTCCTCTCCTAATTCCGTGAGACACTAACAGCAAAGGTTAGATGAGCTCTGTTAGGAAGCATTTTTCCAGCTCCCATGGGAATAAAACACCTTTTCCAGTCTCAGCTGGAATGAGGAAATGAAAAAAAAATTTAAAAATCAAATCCTGTTTGAGCTAATGCAGTCCAAACACAGCCAAAGGTATCCAAGGTGCTCCAAAGAATTTCCCCAGCCCCTATTCTTGTTCATCCCAGGGTCAAGATGGTTGTGGAACCCAACCACAAAGCTGCCTGGAAGGTTTCCTTGGCTTCTCTCAGCCTGCAAACCTCAGACCTTGAGGGATGCATTAAAGGAAATGGTGGCCCTCTCCTCCACAGTTCTAGGGAATGGGAAAATGGGTTTATGGGCCATTAAATCCCTCCATTCCTTCAGAGGTGGTGGAATGGGCACATCTGAGACCTCCAGGGAGCAGCCAGTGGGTGTAACCTGCACAGGGACACAGTTCCCATAACGTCACAGCAAGAAGAGGTGAGCTGGAGCAAAAAATAAATTCACTTTCTCACCAAACACCCTCCTATTTTTCCGAGTCCAGATAAGCAAATTAAAAATGATGTCATGGCTCCCCCAGGACACTGCAGCACGCTGCCATTTGTCCAGCCAGAGTACAACTCCTATTAGTGTGATATAACCCAGTAGTTGGGAACTCAATAGCAAAAACAGAGCTGGAATTTAATAAAAAAACCTCTACAGCTTTTAACTCATTGCCCTTAACACGCAGAGCTACTGTAAGTGAGCGCCTCAACATGAACACTCTGAAGACCAAAGAATTAAAGTAAATGCAATCAGCAGATTACTAAATACCAATGGGAAATTTAGAGCTATAGAGTAAAATCCCAGAGCATTAAAGGATTTACTGCTTGGCATTGATGAGAAGCAAATCTTTGGATTTCCATTTCTATCCTTAATTAGCAACTGGGGTTTATTTTAGTCTAAACTAAGTCACAAAAGATAACACACCCTAAAAGAAAATAGATAGCAGTGCAATAAACTTCATAAAATGTCTTATTAAAAATTAGAAGAAAAAATAACAGATTCAAATGGAAAATCAATTTCCAGGACTTCCATTTCCTTTTGTTTTCTTGTCTTCCCACCCATGCTCAGCTGTTTTCTAATAACATTCAGCTCTTTGCTAGCGAGGTTACCAAGGGTGGTAACAAAGACAGCATTTGAAACCCAAAAAGGGAGGTTCCCTTTTAGAAGGGACATTTTGGGAGTGTTCTTGCTCCCTCACAGCTTGGGGTTTGAAAGTTTTCTGTCTCCCTGCCCAGTTCCCACTGGAAGAAGGATCTAAAATGGATGAGCTGTGTTCCACGTGGCCTCAGCTCTGAGCAAATCAGCCGTGTGAAGTTGAGTGGTTTTTATGGATTCTCTGGGACTGGGGAAAGACAAGGCTCTTCTGGCCAGCGAGGAGACCCCTGGCTGGTTCTCCTCTGATCCCACCTACCATTTGCACCGCTGGTGATGTGCTCCCAGCAGCGGCTTTGGCAGGGTTTGCTGGAGCATTCCAGGTTTGCTGGAGCGTTCCCAGCTGCCAAGATGCACCAGGGATTTGATGTCTGGTCTCCTGACCTGGGATACAGACTCCCACGGCACCATTTCCAGCACAGCTCCTGCCATGGCTTCAAGAAAAGCTGTAAAACATAAGCAGCTGCTTCAGAACAGGAGAAAAGTGAAAGTCTGGGAGTTAAATATGAAGAAATTCATAATAACAAGGCCAGTCCCAAACAAACCTCATGATTCAATGAGAAGGAAGCTGAGGTCCTGCTGTTAATCACTCCCTACTTTTCTCCCTTCACCAGAGAGCCCAAGAATTCATTTGGCCCACATAAAAATTAACAATGGAGTGACCTGAGTGTGATCCAGATCCAGAGATCCATCCCTCCATGGCATCATAGTCCAGGATTCAAATAAATTCCAGCTCCAGTGTCAAACAGCTCATCTAGGCCTGTGAATCATCTAAGGAGAAAAACTCCGTTAAGTTAAATCAAGCCTAGAAGTTGTCAAGTTGGTATCTAGCACTCCAAAATTATTGGATGACCTAAGTTTTATTTATTTTTAAAAATTCGACTTTGAATTATTTTTATTTATCTTGTAATTAGCAGTCCATTGGGTTGAAAACTGGACACTTGTTGGACATGGACAAAGTTTTCATTGTGTGCTAAAATAATTAGTTATGCATCTGAAAATGCATTGATTATAGTCATAAAATTGCAGGAGCTGAGTCCTTGAAATAAATTATCAGATAAAAAGTAAAGTTTTCATTCATAAAAAATAAAAAGGAAAAAAACCCAAAACCATAACCAAAGTAGGCAAAACTTCACAACCCTTTTAATTAATTACTTAACAAGTGCTGATACTTCAGTCTATGGTCATTCACTACACCCTGATTCCCAAGGTGAATCCTGAATGGACACAATTTGGAGCTCTGATGGATATCTGCCCATCCCAGCCAGCAGCCCCCTTTATCTCAGAGCCTGAGCAGAGGCTTTAATGTATTTTGGCTTTGTGACACCTCTGCTATCGCCAGGAGGGACAGGGACAGCGGGAATGTGATGGACAAGCACTGTGGCAGAGCCAGGAGCTGGGGCTGTGAGGGTGCCCTGCGTTAGCTCGGCGAGAAGAGACAAAGCAACTCCCTCCCTTGTTTTTTTAATTTCTTAAAATAACAGCTCCGTATTCCCAGGGGCAAATGTCAGGAATAATTGCATGCAAATTGCACCGGAGTCACGCTGAGGCACCCAGTGCCACCCAAGGGCTCCTGAAGGGTTAAAATCGAGGAGTTCAGCTAATTTACAACTGGAGACCTTTATCATCTCCCGGTGACTTTGAGGGCTCACATTTCCCACTTAATTACTTGTTCAGCAATCAGGCCCGCGAGAGATAGATGTGTTCTGTGTTTAGCCCTCGCAGCTGTGAATTGTTTATTTACTTATCGTCAGGCCGGGGATGGCTGCAATTTAAAGGTTCAGATCTCTGCTACCCTGAGCGGGGAAGGTCTTCCTTTAAACACTTCCATATTCCGCGGTGGAATTCCGCTGGAGATGCCCATCTTCTCCTCCCGTTCCGGGTAACGGGGCCAGCAGGTGTTCCTGGTTAGTGGCCACTGGGGTTATCCACGCCAAGCAGCCGCTGCCAAGTTCACAATCGGGACCAGGCATCTGCGGAGATAAATTCGGGAAGGTGAAAAGCGGGCCAGGGGGATGAGGAGAGATGGATTCCAGCGCCCCGGCTTCCGTGGAATGGCTCGATCCCTATCTGGGACAGCTTCAAACGGTGGCTGCCAGCAATTCCTAGGCCAAATGGTGTAATTACAATCTCAGCTGTCAAATGGTGACCAGATGGCTTTATCTTTCACACCAGAGGCCTAAGAAGTTGGTGAGGTGTGACCTCTCCACATACCAATCCACCTGCAGAGCACGAGGCCCGCGAGTGCCGGAATTCCCGGCGTTCCCAACGCGTCCATCCTCCTCTTTGATAACTTTGGAGCAAAGCTGTGCAAAACCAACAGCACCAGTTTTCACAGGGTCGCATCACCCTCCAGTGCAGCACCACCAGCAATGCTGTGGGACCACTTGTGGGGCTGGAATTAAAAGATCCTTAAGGTCCTTCCCAACACAAATTTTGTATTTCAGCACATGAGGGTTAGTGGGTGGCAAAGGAGGGATGATCCCTGTTATTCTCTTGGGGCACATGCAGATTTCCCATCTACCCAGGAAAAAAAGAGTTGTGCAGGGGAAGAGAATCTCAGTTCCATATTTGGCCAGAAAAGGACATTTCAGAAGGAAAATTGGTGAAATTCCCTGCCAAGAGGGAAAAGCCAAATGGTCTGAGCACCCTGGCATTGTGATGGAGGGGAGGATGGTGGTGGATGCAGGCTGGACACACCCCCTAAAAACCCCAGTGTAGCTGCAGCAGAGGGGCTCTGGGCAAAGCCCAGCCCAAATTCCCAGCAGCAGCAGCTCGGGAGGTCAGGGGCTTGCTGGGGAATGTCCCATGACCCGTTCCTGTGCCACAGGCAGCTCTCTCCAGCCTCCAGGAAAGCGCAGGCTGTTCCCACACGGAAAGCACGGAGCTCTGCAGCAGGTCTCATATTAGAGCAGTATTAAAAGTAAGGACTTTGGGGTCGATATTAACCCCAGAGAATTCTGCCTGTGGGCAGGTGGAGGGGCTGACAGACATCAACAGCAGCAGCAGAGTTTCTGCCTCCAGGCTCTTGCAGCAGCCAACTGCTTTTGATTTAAAGAAAAGGCTTTCCTGTCCTGTGCTCTTATGAGAAACACACTTTTCTCCCAGTCCCAAGGTTATTTCTATCCCACAGATGAGGAGAAGGGGATGCAAGCTGACAGGGAACATGGCAAGGAAGTCTAAAGCACAGAGGTGCTGCTTCCTAATATTTTTTTGTATTATCATCACTACTGCCGTGGGAACAAATTACCAATCTCTGAAAGTGATCGTTAAAGTGGTTTAATAATAATATGTAAAAAAATATAGATCAGAACTTTCTAGTCTTGAAGAATTATAAGAGATATTATTAGATATACACAAAGAAACAAAAATGCAGATAATTCCGGGGCGATTTGGATTTTCTCAGAAACAGATCTACAATCATATGTGTCACTTCAGTAAAGCCAAAGAAAGAAGAAAAGAGCCTCCATAGGCATAATTGAATTAGACAAAATCCTGGAATTTGATTAGAGATAAAGTTACCACTAATTCTCTTAAAAAAAAAAAGAAAAGAAAAATAAATGAGGTGAAATTAAAATGTCAAAAGAGCAGTGAGCTGCTAAATTGAACCTTCAGTTTTGGGTGCATTCACGGTTGTGTTGGCAATGCATCCATGGAGGCACTGAAGTAAAAACACCAAAAATGAAAAAGAAAACACCCCAAATGCAACTTTGAAGAGGACTGAAATTAACAGCACAGAAATGGTTCAGGATTTACAAAAGAGAATTGCGAGGCAGAAACAAATACAAGCAAAACCTGGACCAGTAACAGCCCCGTGTGTACAAATGTTCTAGGGTTGGGATGAATTCTGTGGGCTGGATCAGTGACAGGGGTACCAAAGACATGGACCCAGCCAGATCCCAGGCTGGCCTTCACCCACTGACACAGAAAATGGGAGAAATATTTGTTTCTTCCAGTTTTTTGCTATTTTTCTCCCTTGTTTTAATTGTTTGCTTCTGCTGACATTGAGTTGGCAGCAGCAGCGCGGGGGTTCAGGGCTGCAGCCTCAGCTCAGGGAAGTGGGGATTTTCAGAGGGCTATGAAAATTTAACTGATGAACCTTGCCCTGATTTAACAGACATAAAATGACGGAAAGGAACTTCTCAGGTTCTCGGGCCAGCAGAGAAATTACTGCAAAAAAACAATGACAGACATTAAAGGCAATGGGCACAAAGAGATGTTTCGAAGGAGAGCGCAGAGGCAGAGGGGAGAGGATCCCTTGTGCTGGCTCCCCGCTCCTGCTGCCTCACTCAGCCTTTTCCCACACTTAAAGGGAAGTAAAACAGTTCTCTGAGAGCCTAAGGGAACCCACAGAGCAAGGTGGGCTGGGAGGGATGTGCCAGGATCCTGCTTGGTACCAGGATGCTGCCCCAGATATGAGAGTACAGACAGGGAGGGGGGCCCCCACAGTGATGTGACTCCCGGATTATTTTTGTCCCAAATACACAAAACACTGGCTGTAGCAATCAGCTAGGAATAATATCAGTCCCAAATGCCTTTTTTTAACCCAGGAATTTGCAGCAGAGCACTGGAGAGGTGCACTTCTGCCAGTGATGGCGATGCTTTTGCAGCACTGGAACCTGGGGGCAAAGAAAATCCCATTTTGTGGCTGTTGCTCATCAGCCCCCCGACATTTCAAAGAGATTTTATCTGTCTGGCATGGAAGATTTCCCAAACTGTTTTTATTAGGAGGACTTTTGTATGCCAGCAATGAATATTACTCTATTACTGAAAGGAATCAAAAGCTAAAGTGCCTGCGTGTACAGTTAATCTATCCAAACAGAAAATGTTTCTTAAAAAATTACGGCACTATTTTTATAACAAACCTCAGCCAAACTCAAAACTGAATAAATGGAATGTGTTCTTTTAAAACCAATTTATTTTTTTAATCATGGGCAAGAAATCCTTTCCTTGCTTTCATTCATCAGGTAATGCTTCACCCCCCCATATTTGTGTGAAGAGATTTGTCTGTGATGGCATTTTTGCTTTGGAGGCATCGGATTGAAACATTCCCGAGGCTGGAAGGTGGATGTGAGCCTGGGATGGCATCACAGCCAGCCTGTGGTTTCTATTTCTTTTTAACAAAACCATGAATAAGGCAAGAAAATGCCTCAAAGGGACCAGGAGTGGTGGGGAAGAGCCACCCTAAAGCACTGAGCCACCTAAATAAAGCATCAGGTCAGAGCCCTAGGAATTTCTATAGGATTACCCAAGGGATCTATTCCTGCTGAAATGTTCTGAGGTAAAAACACAGAGCCACTGTCTTTATGCTATTTAAAACTGGCCTGCACACTCATTACCACAACGTAATTATCATTAGGGTTCCTTAAAGCAGAGTTTGGCCCTTCCTAGTTTATACTCCCGAATTACTATTACGGTTTTACTTTAACCAGAAGCCCGTGCAGAACTCTTCCTGCAGTTTTTCAGTATTTATTTAGACTTGCACCACTGCCCAAGACCACAATTTGAATGTCCCGAGCCTCATCCCACGATCTCTCACTCCCCAAAATGCTGCGCATTTTTGATGCCGTCACGAAGAGGAGTCGAAGCAAACAATTCGAAGCCTGCGAGGACCCTAAAATGTGGTTAAACATTCCTGGAGGAGGAGGTGATGAATAGGCAAGCAGGGTAACCTGACCCCCAGGGCTTCACCATCCCCTTTTTGTTTGTTTGTTTGTTTTTTTCTCCTGAGCTTTCCAGGAGTTTCAGCCGCGAGCAAACCCGGGGGCCTTAAAATAAAAATAAAAAATAAAAAATAAAAAGCCACGAAAAGGTTTTAATTCCTACAACCACGTGGCTCATTTGCGTACGTGGGTTTTAAGAGAATTTTTCTAGTTCCAGAAAATAAAATAATGTGAATTTCTCCCCTCTGGTTTTCGTGGGTGAAAGAGAAACTCAGTGCGGGTGCTGTGCCAGTGGCGAGTGTTTGAGCGCTGCTTTTTCTGCTGCCCTGCTAAAGGTCAAAAGCAGGTAATGGATGTCGAAATTTCCACACACTGGGGTAAGCTCGGAGCTTGTTGACTTTAATATCAGTTTTCTTCCACCGTGGAGGAAAAAAAAAAAAAAAAAAAAGAAAGAAAGAAAGAAAAAAAAATAATTCCAGCTCCGCATTGATTTTTCATGGAAATTCAGCAATTTCTCCTTGTTTAAGATCTGGTCTCTGATTTCTCCTTGATTATCATATTGCTCGGCCCCCCAAATAAAGCCCGGCTTTGTTTCAGCTCGGGATGGTGACATCGCTGTTACTGCGCAGGGAAAAATCCCGGGGTGCTGGAGGTTGGTGCTGAATCACAGGAGCTACCTGAGAAAAAAACAAACAAAGCCCTGGGGAAAACCCACCCCGAGAAAAAGGAGAAAGAGAGGGAGAAAAAGTCGGAGAAAGCTGGGAATGGGAATGTGCCCCTTGGAGCAGAGGGGAATAACGAGCTCGGCGTGGCAGAATTCAATTTGTCAGAGTTCAGTTGGAAATGTGAATTTTGGGAATCCCAGCTCGCCCTGGAGGGGTTGGGTTGGGCTCAGCCTCAGCTCTTCTGCTCTCAGCTGAAAACGGAGGCAAGGGCGGGAAAATGGTTTGGATTTCTCCAACTTTCCATCAAAAATGGATGGAATGAGCCATGGAAATTTATGGCTCTGTGTGTGTGTGAGCTCCAGTTCGGCAAGGGGCAAAAATGACCTTCAAAAACCCAAAATTTTAGTCATCGTTGTTGTTAATTGCTGCAGAACTGTATTGGGTTGCTCCCAATGGGCTCCCAAAGTTGAATCTATTTTTTCTTTTTTTCAGATAAATCAACATTCATTGACCCTCTTGAGCTCTTGTGGATATTACAGGGTCAGTATTTAAAACTTACATTTGAAAATATATCTGGGACATGAACATTCATTTTGTTATTGCTGGAGTCTAGAAAACTAAGCTATTAAAATGATACATTTTTACTAATTATCATTGAGTCACACTTTGAAATAAAACTATGTACCCACTGCATTTTTAAAAAATTGAAAAAATACTTGAAAACATCAGTTGTCAAAATAAGCAGAATATTCTCTCCCATGGGAGTGGAGGAAGGTCATTAAAAGAAGTTCAACACATCAGGCTTTGAGCATTTGCTCTGAAAATTAATGCAGGTAAAGAAAGGCACAGTAAGGAATGCAAAAATGGGAAAAAAAAAGTATTATGAGAAAATTTTGTAGCCTAAAATATTTTTTACTAGATAAAATAAATGCTTTAACATATATTTTGCAATTAGTACATGTGCATTTTTAATTATATATAAATCTTCAGGTAACATTTCTGATACAGCTTGTCAGTCATAATTCTGACAAATAATACTGGTTTTATTATTAAATAATAATAATAAGGAGGTTTTAAACAACCAGGATGTTTTTAAGCCATTCAAACACAGTGCCTTGAAATCAGAATCCAGATTTAATTCTTTAGAACGTTTTCCCCAAATAAGGATAAATGTGGGGTCTGCCCTTTAAATTAAATGACAGCAAGAAGTCAGGGGGGAAAAAAAACCAAAACAAACCAAACAATAGCAAACAGTTTGAGACTGATTCTGCTCCTTGTAAATAAGGGGCTGGCTCTAATTTAGTTAATGAGATTTCACCAGTGTAAATTGAATTAGGTTCATTATCCTATGATTAAAACGATCGCTATCATTGCAAAAAAAAAAATAGCAGTTGGAGGACTTTTTTTTTTTTAATAATTTAACAAAAGCTGCTGGAATGAGATGTAAAAGCAGAACTCTCACAAAGTTGCTGTGGGGAGAAAAATTTTTCTAATTGATTTATACCGACTTTTTTTTTTTTAATAATTTAACAAAAACTGCTGGAATGAGATGTAAAAGCAGAACTCTCACAAAGTTGCTGTGGGCAGAAAAATTTTCCTAATTGATTAATACCGACTTTTATTTTTTAAGAATTTTTAATTCTTTTTACGATTTAAAACTGCATCCGTTATCAATCAGAACAAAACTACTTCGTGCTATACACATTAAAAAGGGTTTTTTTCCCTTATTTTAATATTTTCTTTGCTCAGCAGAAAACACCCCACAAGATGTGAGTAAAATTCCTTTGCCGATGAGTGCAGCAAGGCACGGCTGAATTCCCAGGTGTTTGAGCCTCTAGAAAGCAGGAAAGGGCTGTGTGTAATCTGCTCTACATTATTATATATACATTATATAGATCTGCTCTACATTATACTATATTGTATATACATCACATTGTTATGGGTTTTAAGTGTTGTACAACAACCAATTATTTTGATAACGCCTTTAATTGACTACAAAGCTCCGCGAGGGGACAGGAGAGGATCGCCTTGCCCCGATAAAACGATTAAACCGCCTGTTGATAAAGCAAATTACGCCGCGAGTATCTAACAAGTGCTGAAAAGATAAATACGCTCCCAAAGAAGGCAGAGGCGGCTCTCCCTGTCCCAGCACCAAACTTCCAATGCCACCTAATGGAGAGCCCGCACCTCGCAGCGATCCCTGGGCTTTTCCAGCCTCCCCGAAGCTCCCAGAGCCGCGCCTGGGATGCTGGAATAACAAAATTCCTCCGCGAAGGATGCGCAAATGTTTGGGCTGGATGTGGGAGCTCCAAAGGAGCGGCTCGCTGTCCCCAAAGTTTTGGAGTTTGGGGTTTGTGCGGGGCGCGCGGCTCGGATTTGTGAGCGGAGAGATTTTCCTGTCAGGAGGAAAACGCTGGCCGCGGTGCAGGGGGATGTGGAAACAACCCGGGATGCGCAAATCGCCCTCCCTGAGGCGTGGCCGGGGCACCCGAGCATCTTCCCCCAGGCTCGGGACACCGAGAGCGGGGACAGCCGGAGGAGGAATCTGTCCCTGCCCCGTGCCATGTCTGATTGCTGCAGAGCATCCACAGCCCTCTCCGTGCGGGCACATCCCCGGGAATGCTCCCACAGCCCTGGGCAGCTCTGCAGACACGCAGGGCACCTTTGCACACACGGAAATACAGGGCCCAGACACTTTAGGAGCGGCTTTTAGGGGTGACTCCCAAAGCGGGCCCTAATTTGAGGAGGGTTTGAGATTCCCCATGGAAGGTGGTTGGGGATTTCCCAGTGAAACACCCCTGGAATCAAGCAAGCAATTGGGATTCCGCTGTGCCCTGTCCCCCTCGCAGCTGAACAAAGCCCCGTTCTCTCTGACCAGAATATATTTTCTTTACACCGTTCCTGGGATTTCCCTCTGGTTTATTTCTGTAGGGTTGGATCCACTGATTTCGGGAGGTTTGGGGTAGGGCCCTGCACTTCCGCAGCTCCGGACCTGCTGCAGCCAGGGCTGGATCTCTGCTGGTTTGAATGATAAATTTCGGCCAACACAAAAATAGTTTAGAAAAGGGGCTTGGAGGGGAGAAAAAAAATAATTTTCCATAAAACTTGCTCTGCTTATGCCAAGCTTTGCACCCCCTCACCAGCAATTTTAAGCATATTCTGGTATGGCAAGATTAGGGGTAAAAATTAACTATGAGAAAGATACAGATTTAAGATTTACAGGTTTTTAACTGCACAGTTCTCGTAGAGTTTTTACACTTTAAGCAGTGGGATTAAAGACAGTAGAGCTGGGAGTAAAATGCAAAGGGAGCTTTTCTGCTCTCAAAAAAAAAAAAAAATTGAAATAATAGTAAACCAAGTTCAGACAAACCCCACAAGAGAAAACCCGAAGCAAATAAAGGCGAGTGGAACAGATTTCAGTGTTTACTTTTCTTTCTGCAGTTGGATCTCCTGTCGTAGCCACAAGAACTGCAAGCATAGGGTACGGGATGGGAAAGAAAAGACAGGAAAAAGAAAGAATTTTGAAAAATTAAGGAATTTAAGGAGAAGGAAGCAAACCCAAGAGCTCGGAAGCCGCTTGCCCTGCTCAGGCTCCGTGCCTGGATCAGCGGAGCTCTGCGAGGAGCTGCGAGCGGGGAAGGGGACGCTGCGAGCCCCGGGCTCGCAGGGGAGGAAGAGGAAGAGGAGGAGGGTTTGAGGACGGGGAGAGGGAAGAGAAAAATCCAGTACATACAGCTCGATGCGTCCGCCAGCCCCCAGCCTCCGCTTCTCTCTCTCTCTCTCCCTCTTAAGTCAAAAAGGAAATGCGGTGCTTTTTTTTTTTTTTTTGCCTCTTTTTTTTTTTTTTTTTTTTTTTTTTCCAGAATCAGAAAACGAACCGTCAGGAAGTTGGCAAAACCTCTGACTAAACAATCAATGGAGGAAATGCAACAAATTCGCTTTGGCGGCGGGGGAGCGAGGGCGGGCGCGCAGGACAGAGCGCGGGAGCTGCGCACCGCTCCCAGGCTCCCACCCGCAATCCCCTCTCATTCCTTAATTTTTTTACCCCACGGCCAGGTACGCGGGGCAGGGACGGGCTCCTGTGTCCCCCACCCCGGGCAGAAATCCGCACGTCTGTCCGCACAAGGAGCTCCCTGTGCGGGGTGCTCACATCGATTTCCCAGGAATTATCCTCCCTTCCCACGGGCTGGGATAAGGAGGATGGAGAAACGAGCCAGTTCCGTTTGGTGTTTCTGCTACAAGTGCAGTTTGTACAAGGACGAGGGTAGCAAGGAGAGGTTTGAGAGGAGTTTTTACATATATATTTTTTTTTTCTCAATTTTTCTACTATTCACCCGTTCCTCCCTCATCCGAAATTTCGGTCTCTGCCTGCCGGTACGGAGCAAGCCGCTCACATCCCCCCTCCGTGTTTTCCCTAGGTAAAACAAACAAATAAATGGATCCTTGGAAGTTCCGCGGAGCTGCGCGGAGCGGAGCTGCTCTGTCCTGCCCCGCGGAGGGCTGAGTGGCTCCTTTAGGCTCCCGTTCGGGTGAAAACCACCCCCTGAACCCTCTCAAGGGGTTTTCTCCCAGGCGGGGGCTCCCCCAGGTGCTGCTGAAGGCGGCCGGGGACCTCCCCTCTCCGCGGGTGCGGGGGAGCCGCCCTCCCCCAGAAATGCGGGACGCGCTCCGGGGTCACCGCTAAAAGCAACACAAGTCCGTATTTTTTAATAAAAAGCGTTCTCGGGCGGGCTGGCCGCCTTCCACCCGCCCCACGGATGAGCTGGCTCTGTAAACACCGCGGAGAAGATGAACACTGCTGTTCTAAGCTCACAGCGAGAGCTCTCTCTGCTGCTGATCTGGGCGCTCCCTTCGGTTTTAGGGGTGACAACAGCCCCCAGCGCTGTCCCTCTCCATCACCAGCCCGGCGCTCTGAGTCTCCCCCCAGTTCTTCTCCATCATCATCCCTCCCCTCCCTGCGAGTCACCAATGCTCTGGGTGTTCCTTCACTCTCCCTCCATCCCCAGCTCTCCCTTTTTGGGGCTCTGGGTGTTCTCCCAGTCCCTCTCCATCCCCATCTCTCCCTGCCCGAGGTTCTTGGTGTCCCCCAGTCCCTCTCCATCCCCATCTCTCCCTTTTTGGGGCTCTGGGTGTTCCTTCACTCTCCCTCCCTCCCCATCTCTCCCTTCCCGGGGTTCTGGTGTTCCCCCAGTCCCTCTCCATCCCCATCTCTCCCTTTTTGGGGCTCTGGGTGTTCCTTCACTCTCCCTCCATCCTCATCCATCTCTCCCTTTCCGGGGCTCTGGGTGTTCTCCCAGACCCTCTCCCTCCCCATCTCTCCCTTTCCAGGGTTCTGTTGTCCCCCTAGTCCCGCTCCATCCCCATCTCTCCCTTTTCGGGGCTCTGGGTGTTCCTTCACTCTCCCTCCATCCTCATCCATCTCTCCCTTCCCGGGGTTCTGGGGTTCCCCCAGTCCCTCTCCATCCCCATCTCTCCCATGCCTGGGCGTTGCACAGACTCTGGGTGTCCTCTCAGCGGCTTCAAAAATCCCCCTAATTATAAATTATATTTTTTATTATTGCTACCATGATGATATCTTTAATTTGGCGGCCGAGAAGAGCTGGGAACTAACGTCAGAGCGAGCTGCCAGCGTGGTTTTCCAGCAGCCAGTGGTTTTCCAGCGCCTTTCCCACCTCCCGCACTCCGGACAGGGACAACCTGAGCCGGCTGCGAGCGGGAGAGCAGGTGGGGTTTTAGGGAAACTCTGGAAATCGAAAAGGAGGAGGAAAACTGGCAACGACAAAGTCATTTGTCCAGAAATTCCATAAACGCACCAATCCCGAGGGAAGAGATGCGCCGGGCCGGGTCGGGATTGGGATTGGGATTGGGATTGGGATGGAGGAGATGCTTGGTTTTGTTCTTTTGCCAAAATTGCACCAGGCTGGGGAGGGGGAGTGAGGAGCAAATCAGGGATAAAAGAGGAGGCAGAGCTGAGTGTGCCGGCCCGGGGAGAGCCCAGAGGAGCGCAGAGGAGCCACCGCTCCACCCTCCATCCCTCACTGCCCCCCGCCTGCGCCCCCAGCTCAGCCAGAGAGGGGACGGAGCTGGAGAGAAGGAGATGAAATACCAACAGTCGTGGGGAAAAAAAGCGCCAAGAACAGCCAAGAATAAAAAAAAAAAATTAAAAGGGGTGGGGGGAAAGAAAAGGGAAATTAGGGAAAATAGAAACAAAAAAAAAGGGGAAAGGAAATATATTTTGAAAAGATAATAGAAGGAAAAACGAGGAGAGGAGAGGAGAGGAGAGGATTAAAAAGGAAAAGAAAATAAGACAAAGTAAAGAAAAAAATAAGAAAAAATGGCTCAGCTTCCCCCGCTCCACTCCCAACAAGACCTTTACACAATAAAATATTTCCTTGGATAAGGATTTTCCCCTGTATCGTTTTCGCCTCTGGATCCCTACTGGTAAATCCCTGTAAAGCACGATAGGTTTGGGATTTCCCCCCCGTTTGCCCTTGCCCAGCACCACTGGCATGAGCTTGCCTGGCGATGCTGGTTTGAGTCGCTTTGCCCACAATCCCTGTGACAGCGGCACCGGGGCATTTGAAAAAGGCATAAAATCGGAATAATCCAGCAAATCGGAGTTAGAGCGCCCGGAAAAGTGTCAGACAAAACACGCTGGAGCCAGAATGGGCTTCACCTTTATGAGACGCTACAAATTGCTGCTATGGACACTTTGGAGACCTCCGAAATCCCTTCATTAGCTGCTTGATGCATTTGACATCCGAGCTCATTGTACCCCCGAGGCGTCCAAAAGCTTGGAAATCGAGTTTTATTAACCTAATAAAACGCACGCACGCAAAATTCGGGGGGAAAACTCAAGAATCGAGAAAACCTAAATAAATCCTCTGACTAGGTGCTGGAGATTTCTCAAGGCTGTTTGAAATTGAGAGGAAACAAACTATTTACTTGTCAAAATTGGATTTTTTTTTTTTTCAGACGATTAGTCCTGTAGCAGGATTTCTTTATTTGCTCTTAAAACTGACAGGCTGCCTTCGTTTCCATCCTCATGCAGTATTTTCCCTCTTCCTTGATCCCCGCATTATGCAATAACTCAGTCATTTTTTAGGAACAAAGGGGAAATATAATGAGAAACATTACAGCGGCAGCGCGCGTCTGCTGCCCGCTAGCAGAGCGCTTCGCGTGTAATATATATTTTATTTCCAGCCAAAACCAACGATCCCGACGTCCTACATGATGGGAAGGGACGCGTTTACAATGTGGCCATTGTGCACCGGCATGAGGAGATTTTTCTGTGCCTTAAACATCACCTGGGAGGAGGTCCCGGCGCCCTGGGCAGGCAGCATCCCTCCTCCGGCAGCGGCAGGGACTCGGTGAAGAGGCTTTCCCCTCCTTTTCTTCTCTGTAAAAGGACAAAAAGGACAAAAAATAATAATAAAATCACCTTCGTGGTCGCTTTGACCCAGCAATCCAAACAAACTCCCAAAGTTCAGCTGGAGCCGAGGGTGCTTTTAATGCCCGGGGCAAACTTTGCTCGCTTAGAGCAGCGTCTGGCGTGAGCAAAACACCTTTTTTATTCCGAGCAGGTCCCTGTAAATCGCTTTTTTTAAACTCAAAAACTCCTGTTCGGGGCCGTTTGGGGCATGACTGTAAAATCGGGCTACCTGGCCCAGATAAGCGGGGCTGTTGTCACCGAGGCACGAGTGGCACCAAGGCGGGGGCATTAGCAGCTGGTAAATAAGTGTGCAGGCTGTAAAGTGAAGTTGTATCCTTTAGATAAGGGCTTATCTACACAGCCATTAAACCCACACTCACCTCCTTAGCCTGCGGTGTCAGCTCCCAGAGGGAAATATTTATTTAGTCCCTATTGGAACGGGAGGGTTTAATCCTGACTTGATGTGCCAGGAGAAACCCCTTCCTTGTTTTTGTTTGGTGAGTTGTAATTCTGTGGATTAAAATCCTTAAAATCTTGCTGTTTGCCCACAAAACAAATAAAAGATAATCTGGGTGGAGCGACTGAGGTCTTAACATACATTTTTAATACACCTGGGTGACTTTTCTGTCATTTCCTCTCAGTGAAGTTTGTCTTTTCATCATGTACACAGGCTGTCCATAAAAGCAAGTTATGTACATTTTTAAAAACATGGAAAATAAGAGCCAATCCTGCCAACAGTCACTGAGGCTGAGTCAGGGCTGTGTGGTCCAGCTAAATTCAAATTAAAGTCAGCAGCAAGTCCCCCTTGGACCTGAGTGTCACTGGGATCAGGCCCTGGAGATGGTCACAGCAAGGAAGGAGCTGAGAGAGCCCCTCAGAACTGGCACTGCTTGTCTAATCCATGAATAATTGCATGGATTCAGTGGGATTGGCAAAATGTAAATCCTGATCCTGGATCCTCAGTTTTTCTCCTTAGTGGAGTTTTATCAATTTAAGGATGCTCAAGTGGACTGCAGGGGACTAGAGAGCACAAATACAAGATTTTAACAAAAGTAATAACAGCAGAAAAAAAAAAAACCCCAGGAGGTAACTAGAAAAATATTCTGTTATTTTAACTAATTATTTTCTAATTTTGAAGTCTAATATGAAAACCAGCAACATTCACTTGTTGTTTGTGAGGAAAGTGAGGCACCAGGGAAGAAAATAAAAAGAAGGATTATTCCAGGTGCAACTTCGGTGGCAGAGTGCAGGATTAAACCACAGCTTTATTTACATCCCAGCCTGCTGTGTTTAGACCAAAGCCATGCTGACTTGCAGGTAAATCTCTGCTTCTTGCTGAAATCGATGGAAATTTTAGCCCTGCTTTCAAAGGAAAGGCTGAGCAGCCT